TCAAGTCGCTGGGCGCCGCTTTCGGGGCCTCCGGGTCACGGTCAGGAAGCGCGAGCCGTCCAGAACCAGGAGCAGCAAGGGTCGTAGCTGTGCCGAACCAGTGCCTTGCAGAGCCCACGTCTAAACGCAAGGACCCAGCAGGCCCGGAGGAGGCACCTGCGCGGGGTCCCCAGGAGCAGAGGCGGTCGTTTCGACCTGGAGACAGGGCTCCGCCTTTCCGGCCTCAGCCTCACCCTCGCGGCGGCTCGAGGTGAAGCGCGGGCGTGGGACCCATGACACCCACGGGACCCACGGCACCCCAGGGACCCGCGGGGCCCACACCCGCGCCAAGCGAAGGCACCGCTCCGGCCGCCGGCACAGCTTCCGCGTCGCCGCAGACAGAAAGACCTGAGTTCCAGCTGCGCCGCAGCCCATGCCGCCTGCGCTGCACGGGACACCGCGGCCTGCCCCTCTCCGTCACCTCCGGCCTGGGCGGGCGCGCAGGCAGGCGGGCTCGGCCGCTAACTTTGATCAGCCTTATTAATTCCATCAGCGCTCGATTCGTTTGTTATTTTACCCCTCTGCCATGAAATCGTTATTTATGACATAAAATTCAAAAGTGCCCGCTGGTGGAAGAGGCAGAGGACACTTCTGAGAATGGGTGAGTGGGAGCATTTCCCCTTAAAGGTCACCAAAAGGGAGGGGAGGGACTCGGAGTTCTTCTAGGAATTCATTACTCAAGAGCTTTAACTAATTACCATATCAGAGGAATGAAAAAGCAAATATTTCTTAAAATAACCGAAGGTAATTATAACCCTGTTGTTGACACTAACGATTAATAATTGATCAGGAACTACACACAATAAGTTGTCAATTTATCTCCCCAGGAAAATGCGGACTTCCACTGTATTGTTCGTCTCTCCCCTCTGGCCATTTCCTGTGAAGAGAGGTGTGTCGAGGGGTCCCAAACCCCACAATGGATTCCTTAGCGATATTAGGCGAACCTGTTTTCAGCCTCCGGTAGAACCACAGAACACTCGGCTGCTTTTAAGAAGATGTTTCCTGTGGTCTTGGGGACAGAGTTAAGCAAACTCATAATTCTTCCTCTTTCCTTTTACCTGGGAGTGCAGGAGCCAAGAGCCTTTCCTGACTCACTCGGAGGTTGCAGGTAGAGTCCTCCAGGCGCAGGCTTCCACCTTTCTTAGGAAGAAGAGCATTCTGCCCTCCCTCCCTCACAGTAGAGGGCAGAATAGAGGACTCGGGTCCCTGCTGAGCCAGGGTTCTGAACCCCAAGACTTGGGTTACTAGTGCAGTCTCTCCCACCTCCCTGGAGCTGAGGTCAGAGTGTTCATGGATGCCCTGCACCCAGGACCCTGACAGAGAAGGGGGCAGGGCAAGGGCTGTTTGCTCTGACCAATAGAAAGTCATTTTCTGCAGCTGGAAAATTATATTGTCATAGATTACTTCTCCTTAAAATAAGCCTTTAAAATATCCATAGGGATTTGTCACTTGCATAAAGGTTTGAAAATACATCAAAGGGATATCTCCCCCTTGTGATTTGCAGAAATTCAAATCATGGTAATCGAGGCATCCATGTATCACAGACATTCGTGTGCTTCCCAAGATCTCAGCTCTGTTGAACGCATTTGAAAAACGTTTTAAATGCTGTTTCTGTAAAAGTGGTTTAAAAACATGCATCTCCCCTATATCTTTAATTTGGATTTTAACTAAACGTTTCCCTTGGCATTGTCTTTATTCTAAAAAAGAAAGTATATGGTGATAATAATTGTGCCCTATTATTTGGAAGAAACTTTGAAATAATTCGTACGTTATATAAATTTAAAAAAGGATTGCCCCTAACTGGAGCATAAATTGATTTAAAAAAATATTTTTTTCCAAACTGATGCCTGTGTTCTAACGTTGGTCATTTAGTATATATTTATCCTATAACCTTAAAAAGAAAAGGTATACTTTACTCGGAGTCTCTTGAATAAATATTTAAATGTAATTGGACTTGACCCAAAGGGCAGGGCTGGAACCGCCAGTCTGCAGGTAACTGATCTACAACAGCACTGAAGAGCTGGAGCCCCGGGCCACTCAGAACGGTCTCTACCTCCCCAGGGAGCATGCAGTGGCTGGAGGGGTAGGGGTCTATGAGGGCAGATTCCAGGGTGCCCCTTGCCACCCCTCCCCAGCTCCCTGCCTTCCCAAGACAAAAGTAGATTAAGTTCTTTTCAAGTTTCAAAGTCAGTTGCTCGGCAGCTTTGCAGAAACAATAACTCTTTTATTGGGAACAAATGTTGACATTTGATGGCGTGGGGCGCCAGCGCCCCCCGGTGCTCCCTACAGCACCCGACCCCTGGGGCCCACCAGAGACCAAACCGCGATCCCCGATAAATCAGCTCTAATGAAGCTGCAGGCCACAAAGGGCAGAGGGGCTGTCGAGGCCTGAGCTTGGGCGAAGGGCCCCGGAGCCAGAGCCGCCTGGGCCTGTCCCTACAGCAAGGCCACAACCCCCACATCCCTGGTACCTCGCCTCTGGGCTCTATTCTTCCCAACTCAGTCAGCAGCTTCTGAGAAGTGTCTTGGCCGTACTCACTTTTGATAAACAAGTTTTTAAAGCAAAAGTAAACCTCAGGCTTCAGCTTCCTTCCCCAGCAAGGGGTGTCTGTCTGTCTCCCTCTCCTCTGCTCTGCTCCCAACAACCTACCAGGAGAACTCATGAATCACTCTACTATGCTTTTGAAAAGATCCTCCTACACACCTGAAGGTTTCATGTTTCTAGTGAATAGCTAAAAATCAAGTTCTCCAGAAAGAAAGCCAGGTCAGGAGGCAGGTAGATAACTTAGGGAAATCTTCAGGCATTGGTGGGGCATATAAACATCAAAGTGGCTTCTCTAGCTTCAGCAGATATCAGACTGCTATGGACGGTCACCAAGAGAAAGGTGCACCCAGTGGGAATTTGGCGGATGTGAAGGGCGACGGATCTCCAGTACAGGAAAAGCAATCCCCCAGTTCCAGAGGAGACAGCTGTTACCCAGGCTTCAATTTCTAAACATCTGCAGGAAGATGAGCTTGGGCATGGGGTTCTCCCTTCCATGCCTCTGTTCCTTTCAGAGATGTCTTGCCCTCCGTGCTACAGTTTCACTAGAGCTGGTTTTCTAGCGCTGGCTTTGTTCAATAGAGCCAACTTTCTTTCCTCGGAAGCCCTCCAAATAACCATTCTTCATTATAACATTAAAGAGATAGTGCTCCTACGTGCATTTTCATTCCCCGTAGATTCAAGAAATACAGCTAATATTAATAAACTACTCGATCCCTGATCCCTTGATATCGAAATGTAAAATACTTTCTGGAGGGGGAAATTACGATCTTCATGGAAATTCAAAGAAGGTTTTGTGTCTGAAACCAAAACCAGAAAATGCACTCAGAGCTCTGTCTTCCTCCCCAGACCTCCTATTTGTTGGCTGCCAGATGCACTAGGCAGGGTGGCCAGGGTCCATGGGAAAAAGCCTCCCTGCTGCCAACAGAGAGCTCAGCTCCAGCACTGCCATTTCCATTACTGGGGGAGGCAGAGGGAAGAAAAGGAAAAAGGAGAGAGAAGAAAGCTCTGCACCCTAGAGGTTTACGTTATGTCTGACCTCCAAATGCCTACGTATTTAGAGCCAACAGAATGCATAAGAAGGACTGGAAATCGGAAACCTTCCCTTCATCTGTCTGTGCTCTCCAGGCAGGGCCAGCACCGCCAGCCCTCCCCGCTGGCGTCCAGCTAACAGTCCCCCGGCTTTGCTAAAGTACCTAAGATTACTTTCAAATACCCTTTCGAACAAGACCTCAGCAAGAGGCCACTAATTTCTATGGCACAAAAAGCCACTGGAGAGAGATCCGTTTGTCAATATCAACCAGTGCAGCAATTTCCCATCCTCAGACACATCGGCCTATCGGAGCTGGCAGATGTTTAGACAAGATTTTATAAATCGTTCAATCTCAGCCCATAATGAACCCCAACTGACCATTCCAAAGCAGCTAAAAGCACCGGAGACCTCCCCCGCTGGGATCCAATAACGCTCTCATCCCGCACGATTATTAATCACAGCATAAAATAGGTGAACCTCTTGAAAAATAAGTGTATGATTGATTAAAGGGCAATCTAAGAAGCCATTATTCTTGTTTTATAACCGTAAGTTATATTCACTCAATTTATCTTTGGAGAGGAAATAAATGATTGTTCATTTCTTTTCCAAAATTATATGGATAGCCACATAATTTTGCTGAAAATTAAGGTGGCAGGGTTGCTGCTTTTGTGATTCCAACCAAAGAGGGTACATTCCTTGACTGCAAATTTTAGACCTGTTCTGTAATTAGGATGTGAGTTAAGGACAATAAAGACGCAACAATCCAAGGCTGTTTAAACTTTTCTTGGGGGGCCCTTGGGGTAAGCATCTTTGGAAGGAAACCACCCCCTCTTGCCCCCTGGGGTTCAAGGGAGGTGTGTGAAAGGAGTCAAGGGGACTTCAAAGCATCTGAATAATCTATGTTAATTTTGATAATTCTGGCTAAAAATAAAAAAGAAACCCCTCAATTCTTTGCACCAGTAATTTCTCCTAGGGGTGGGACTCTCATTTACCAATAGCATGGTATTTCTCTAGCTTAGTTTGTTGAGGAAGTCCCAAAGCCAGCATCACAAATAAATATAAAATGCACAAGCGCGTCAAATCATTTTATTTTCCAAGTTTTAAAAATTTACACTAGCAAGGACTTTGCATATTCAGAAAACAAAAATTTTTGTAATACATTTTTATATAAATAATCTAGAACCACATGTATCTCCTTATTGTGTAGATCTCTCTCATTTGCCTGTTTTTTTTTTTTTTTCTTTTCTTTATAAGCAGAGCAAGAAAGAAGAGTTTGTTTCACACAGCTTTTCATTAAAAAGATGAGCTGAGCTCGCCTACAGGGTCCCAGCCTTAGGGCTCCAGACTCCAATCTCTCTTCTGGAAAAACGAGCCCCAAACACCATATTATTGTAGACTAGTCTGTTTTTATTTACAATTTAAGATATAAATTAGTAAAGAATTCATGTTAAACAACCAACAAAGATTGTATAACCGGCAATGTTCAAATAAAAACCAAGCAGAATTTATTTACAAAAAGTTTAGATTCCATTGCAATACAACTTGCATAAATTACTAGAAGCTTTATATCATTATAAAAATAAATATCAAATTTGTTTTCACTTGTGAAGTACTCAAGTTCTTCAATCACGTTTTATTTCTACTGTGTACATCTTTTACAAATAAATTTTACAGTAAATCCTATCACACCTATAGAATATATACCGTGGCAATGAAGTGATCAATTCAAGATATCCTGAGAAAAAACAGATTGTTTTCAAAATTCACACATACATGGGGGAAGCTATACTATGCCGAGAAGTTCACATATGTCCACAACAGTGCGTGGCAGTCCTTAGGTCTGTGGCTGACCGTGCTGTGTGGGTCCTTCACTTTTACAGTGGCACAAGATACGGTCCGGATTTAGAGATCTGCTTTTTGTATCTGTGTATTTATGAGAGAGCGTGGCCTGCTGACTTTTTTTTCCAAAGCAATTGTGACACCTACCTGTGGACCAAGGAAAAAATCAAATCATCCCAAATCCTTCAGCCCCACATGGACAATGGTTCTACTTCTCTTTCCCCTCGTCAAGATCCAGGATTAGTAATTTTGCCTGGCTGTAGAGGCAGGCATTTTAAAGGGCTTTGCTTGCACCAGGAGAAATTCAGGGTCCTGTCTAGGCCATCTGTACACAGGCTGAAAGCCGGCCTGCTAGAAGCCACTGCTTTGTGTCTCCTCCTCTTCCCCAGCGGAACATCTACACAAGGGCTCTGAACTGAGTTTGTGTGCTGTTCCCTCATCAAAGCAGATGTCTGCTAGGTGTTTAGCAGTGAAAAGCTGTTCCATAGGACACAAAAATGCCCAGATTCGAATCATCTATTTTTTTCAAAGACAAAACAATAGCATGTTGCAATATATATTCCAATTAGGGTGATTTTTCAAACCAGAATTTGAGCAAAGAGGGACTCTCTAAAACAGACACTTCCTCCTTAAAAAGGAAAAGACCCCAGGAGCCTTGCTGTACAACACGCTCAGCGAGCTGATCACTGGAGGGGACTCCACGTCGGAGCAGCACTTGGTGCCCACTTACTTGCGCTGCCGAGCTGGGCCTTCTATAGGTAGGGCTGGACGCCTGCGCCAACCACCGTGCAGCCCTCGCTGGCATCTGTCGGGGGAGGGGGCAGTGAGTGAGAACCAGCCGCAACTGCTGGCGGCCAACAGCCAGACACCAGCGCAATCTGCACCCGCAGCAGAGCCCCAGGTGAACTGGGCTGTCTGAGAGGGACACTACCTCTGTTCCCTCCACTTCCTGACATCCCCCCTGAACTCCTCTCTCAAGTAGCTTGAATTATGCACCACAGAGCTAACACAGTAAAGAGACAAGGAACGGAAACAAATCAGGCCTCTACCAGTAATGAGAACGTTGCCTTTCCTTCTAAGCAAAGGCGGAGGGGGAATTCCGGCTGTGACCCTACCTCACCAAACACACGGAGGGCCGCTGGAGGAGGCTTGAACTCTGGGCAGAGAGCAGGGCCGTAATTGGCATTGTGTGGCAATACTTGTTTGCCAAAACCCAAACAGTTATGATGATAATATTAATCATCAATTAAATAAAGAGTAAATAATAATAGGGTAGATCTAAAAGGCAGGCTCCGCCCTCTCCCACTTCACTCTCAGCTCTTCTACCCCAGCTCTCGCCTGCCTAGTTCTAAGTCCAGTGGTGGCTTCTCCAGACTCACCACAGGTTCCCAGCCCAGCCCTCCTCCTTCTCTAACCCTACGGTCTCTCCCTGCAATGCCTCACGGCCGGGCAGCCTACCTTTCTTGGGTTCATAGCCGCCGCCCGGGGCTCGGTAGTGCGGCTCCAGCGGGTGTGCGCCTGCCTTTCCCGCGTCGCTTGCTGGCTTGGGCACAGCGTGCAGCGTCTCGCTGGGGGCCGCGGCAGCCGCGTTGTAGCGCAGGAGGCCCTGGCCCTGCAACGCCGCGTTCAAGTTCCCGTAGTTTGTGTAGTTGCCATAGAAGGGCGTCGTGTAGTAGAGGTGACGGCCCAGCAGTGGCGAGGCCGGATAGGGCGAGCCGCCTGGAGTGGCCCCGGTCGAGGTGGGTGCAGCAGCGGCAGGCAGCCCCGGGGTCGCACAGCCCGGGCCCAGGCTCGGCTGCTTGAGGTCCGACGTGGCAATCTCGGCCAGCGACCACAGCTTGGGCTTGCTGGCGGGCGGCGGCGCGCCCGGCGACGTCCGGCTGCCCAGGGGTGTCTTGCGGGGCACGGCCTCGGGAGCCGGGCTCAGCAGCGGCGCCTCCACACCGGTGAGCGGAGAGGAGGTCACGGGCTTGGGTGGTGCCAGGTCCCGCTCGCATTCGTCCTCCTCATCGTCTTCGTCGTCCTCCAGGTCGTCGTACTTGTCCTTGCACTCTGAGCCCGACTCACACAGAGGATCTCCGGCGCGGCAAGACAGCTTCTCTCCGTCTGACTCGGCAGAGCAGGAGTGATCCGTGAGCGAGTCCACGTGCAGGCTGATCCCTGAGGGCGGGGATGGGCAGCTTGTTGGTGGTACCAGAGTTCCAAGGCTTCCCCCTGCCCCAAACCCAACCGCGCACATAGGGCAGCCTAGCCTCCCGGAGGGCCCTCGGACTCCTAGGCCAACTCCAGCGGCCCAATCAGCGCTGAGGGACCCAGTCTCCAAGCGGATCCTGAGTGTCACAATGGGCATGTCCCCCCTTCCCCGCCTGGGGAGAAGCTCCCCTACTCTAGCCGCGTCCCCGCTCACCTTCGTCCTCCGCCGAGGTCTCCGTGCCCTCTTGTGCCTTGTCTGGACTCTCGTCCTTGCTCCGCGCCGCGTCGCCGTCTTCCTCGTCCTCGTCCTCGCTTTTGTTCCTCGGGGCCCATGTCATCTTGTTCTCTTTTTTGAGGCGCCGGCGCGCGTTGGCAAACCAGGTGGAGACCTGCGTGAGGGTCATCTTGGTGATGATGGCCAGCATGATCTTCTCGCCCTTGGTGGGGTAGGGGTTCTTGCGGTGCTCCTGCAGCCAGGCCTTCAGCGTGGCCGTGGCGTCACGCGTGGCGTTCTTACGGTACGCCGGGTCATTGAGCTGATATGGGTAGGCCGCGCTTCCATAAGGGTGGTAGCTGATAGCGCCGGTCATCCCGGTCGTGTGCGCGTCGTAGGGCGCGCCCTGCAACCGACAGCAGCACGTGAGTGGGTGCACAGGGACAGCGGGCTGCACCCCAAAGGTGATGCTGCCCCCCCCACGGCCCTGGGTCTCCCGCGCTCGGACTGCGCAGCCCTTAGCAAAGAACAAGAAAGCAGCGGATGATTTAAGGCCAGGTGTTGGTCACAAAATGCACTGCAGTTTTATTCCCGAAATTGCGTCCTATTTCACCTTTCTAAAACCATACATCTTCCCCTAAATGTTGGGAGCCTTCCGCTCAATGTACACAAACAAACGCGCCGCGCTCTGGCCTCCAGGTACTTTCGTGATGTCTAAATTTCCCCGGAAGCTTGCAGGGCTGCACCCCCACCCCCTACCCGCCCTTATATGGTTTTAAAAAACACCCCAGAGCCCCCACTCCGCTATTCACCACTCTAAAGCTCCGTAAATCCAATTTGCAACTCAGAAGCCAGTCACCGTTTCGAATTCTTCAAATATGCGGTAATTAGCATTTTAATTCATGCCTTAGCTTTTAAATTCAAGACATTTGCAGTCTTCTCTAAGGCCTCCGCCACTCCGCAGCTACCCAGGAATTCCACTGAGGGAGGCAGTAGAGACAGCCCCCAAACGGACTGGATCGCCTGGAAAGTGCGGGGCCACCGCCCGCCTAGGCCCGGCTGAGTCTCCTTGAGGCGCGCGAGCCGGTCTGGTCGCCAGAGCAGGCGCCACTCCCGGCTCACTGGGGAGTGCAGCGGCGTTCGCGGGACCCGCGTCCGCCAAAACCTTTCTCGAAAGCTCGGTCTGGGAGACTGAGGGAGGCCGAACCCAGGGCGCCTCCGGAATGGCCTCGGAGCCACAGCCCGGGCTCTGCTCCCTCCTGCTGCCCGCGGCCGTGCCGCGCGCGGGACAGGAGCTGCCCGGCAGCCTCCCGGAAGTCCCGCGCCCACTCTAGCGCCCCAGGCCAACGTAGGCTACTGGCTCGCCCAGACCCCCGTCCAGCTTCAAGGGAGCCTGGGACAGCCAGGGACAGACTTCAGCCGGGAGGAACGCGGTCTCCAGGCTCTTAGGAAAATTCTCCTGACCAAGCGAAGCTTGCCGGCCTCGCTATCTTCCACCGCAAGCCTGTTCAGACTCTGGAGCCGATAATCGGACCTCCTCCCTCGGCCCCCCCGCCGAACCTCAGCCCACCCGTGTGCCCCGATGCGCACCCCGAGCCCAGGAACCGCATCCTCCGCGTCCCCCCGCGAGAGATTACCATGTAGGACGGGAAGCCGGCGGCAGCGGCGGCAGCGTCGGCCGAATACTGTAGCGGGCTTCCGAAGCCGGTGGCCGCCTGTGCCGTGAAGGCCGCGGAGCCCGGGTACGGGCTGAAAGCCGAGCCAGACGCCGAGCGCGCCAGCTCCTCGCTTCGCGGCGCCGCCAGCGCGGACGCGCCGTACGCGGGGCACGAGTAGAGCGCCAGCGACCCGGGCGCTTGGTACAGGTAGCCCTGCGGGTAGGACATGGTGGGCGCGGGGCGCAGGGCCCGCGTCACGCCGAGCAGCGGGCAGCGCGCGCGGCGCCCTCCATCCACGCCCGGCCGGGGCGCGGCGCGGCGGTGGGCACCCGGGCTGCGGGCCGGAGCTGGCTAGCTTGGGCAGTCGCCTGGGCGGCTGCGGGCTGGGGATCGGTGGGGTGGCAGCGACAGCGGCGGCAGCGCGGAGCCGGTGGGCGCAGCCGCGCGCCAGGCCGGCGGTCGGGGTTTGGGGGAGTCTCGAGTCGGGAGTGAGGAGTTGAGGAACGAGCGCTCGAGTTTCCGAGGGACATTGGAACGCGGAGCTGTCCGTCACGCGCTCATCTGCATATTCGGGTGCCCGCCCCTCCCCTGCTCCGCCCGCTACCGCCGCCGGCCACGGCCGGGGGAGGGGCAGCAAGGCGCGCGGGGAGGAGTGGCGGGGAGAGGGGCGGGCGCAGGGAGGGACGCGCAGGCTTTTGTGGCACAGCCGCCCGCGCGCGCTCCCCGGCCGGGGCCCGGCCCCGGCCCTGGCCCTATAGCTGGGCCTGGCAGAGCTGTGCGCCTGGGCACGCACCCCTCCCACTCGTACGTGCTACAAGCCGCCTCCCCCGGCCACCTCTGTCCCCTCCTCCGGCCCATCGGCGACCACCCAGCCCCCCTAGCTCAGCGCTGGCGACTCCGAGGCCGCCGCGGTCTGGCCCGGCCGAGTCCGTAACAAGGAGCCCCGAGCTCACTCTTCGGCGTCCCGCATCGACCAGATCCCTGTGTCCAGGCGGGAGGACCAGACGGGGACAAGCGCGACCCGGGCCCTCCATGCTGTGACGTGAGTGGCTCTCCTTTCCCTTTCCGCGGGCGTCGCTGCCTCCCCGCGTGGCCTCGCAGGTCTGATCTGCCCCTCGCGCCCTATCAAGCGCCGACCCGGATCCGGGGCGCCTCACTTTGCGGCTGTAGGCCGGGCCTGGTGGCGAGGCTTCGGCCCCAAGTTACGGAGGTTTGACAGGCCCTGGTGCTAGGACTCTACAGCAGCTCGCTGCTAGGGCTTCGCCCGGTAAAACGCCATTCCCGAAAGGTTTTATTTGGTTTTAATAAGTTCATGCCTCCTTCGGACTGGAGGTAACACTGTTACTGGAGGAACTTCCTTTGGCATGAACCTCTTCGCTGCCAGCTCTGGAAGGGATGAGAGTGTAGCAGACTGGTGGCCTTCGCGGTCGCACCACAGGTGGCCGAGGTGACCTGCGGTTGGCTGGGGAGGCGCCTCTGGGGGTCCAGGGTAGTACGTGGGCGGCCTTTGGGACCCCAGCCTTCCACCCTATCTCACTCCTTCACACCTCCTTCACCCAGCAATGGCAGGAGAGGGTGTCTGGCCAACAGGTCCGGTAGGGTCAGCAGTGGGAGCGCTTGGGGAGCGCTAAGTGGGACAGGTGTGTGTTGGCTCCTGCTGGGGAGCCCACCCAACAGGTGTCTCCCCGGGAACCACCTCAGAGGTGGCGGACATCTGCTCTGCGGGCTGGAGCAAAGCCCTGGCCTGCGGCACCTGTGGGCAGTGGTGGTCTCCAGTAACTGTGCGCCTCCCAGGCCTCCGAGTGGGGTGCAGCCGTGGCGCAGGAGCACAAGGCTTGGGCTGCCTATTGAGCTGCATTTTCCTCTTCCTGCTTCCAGGGAACCAGCAGTGGCAAACTGCAGCTTGGAACTTGACCAGGATCTTCCTCCCTTGGCTTTGGTGAACCAGTGGCAAGTCACTCCTGGTAGGTGTTTCCCCCACCCCGCAAATCCTCCCGGAACCCCAGCCCCAGCCTCCCGCTCCCTACCCTCCCTACATACCACACCCACCCCATCACTTCTTCTTCGTCTAGAGTTGCCCCACACACAGGGCTAGGAGGCCCAGTGGCCTGCACCCGGTTACTGGGGTCCCACTTGAGGTATCCTAATTCATTCTAGGGACGATGCCTTCAATCAATTACTACTGCGTGGGAGGGGGCAGAGGGTAGAGACCAGGCGGAGACACACACCGCATCTGCAGCCAGGTGGAGCCCACCGGCAGATCTCCGGAGGCCCTCGAGGAAGGGACCCGAGAGGAGAAGAGATGCACACCCGTGAGAGCGAATGGACCCGGATCACGTGGCGAGCCAACCAGTTGGCTTCCAGTCACCCGGGCTCGAAGTTTTTTTGTTTGTTTTTTAAGGCACTAATTTTTGTCAGCTGGGACGCTTGGCCTCCATTTCTAAAGGTTTCCTGCGGTGGTCATTAGCATAGAGATGTCTCCCTCTCCTCTCCTCTCACCCTCCCTACCTACCCTGCCACTTAGGCAAACGGGTTCCAGTGTGGCTCTGCATCTTAAGCCCAGGTTCGGTCGATTTTGACATCAATTAAGGATATAACCCGACAAGCGCGGCGTGGCTGGGGGCTCTCCTCGGAAGTCCGCTGCCCTGCCCTCTTTGGTTCTGCCGATGGGGACGAGGCCTCTTCCCTTCAGCGTGTGTTTTTCCCCCAGCAATTACACTCCTCCGCTGAAATCTAAATTTTCCATACTGCTGCCTGTTCCTAATAAAAACCGTCTACCTTGCGCTATTAAACAGTCGAATCGTACTACATGCCGTTTTTATTGGTAGTGACTGTAGCAAATTAAAATGCCTACGCAGGAACATTAACACTTACTCCTCGGTGTTATCGGGATATATAAACTCCGTTTCGCATGGTAGCTCCTTGATGTTTGAAAAATCACTTTTCCTTTGCTGAAGTTAAAGTTGGCTTGGTCTTAAGCATTTCAAAAAATGAGGGGAAAAAGAAAAGCATACTGCAGACAGGAAGCTGAGTGCTGTGTACCTCTCTGTCGCTGCATGCGCGGGTGGCTGTCCCGGTCCCCCGAGAACTGGGGTCGTGCGGGGAGCAGAGGGAACCGTGCGGGACCGTCCCCTGGTCGCAGCAAGATGGCTGTCGCGCCTGAGGGTTGGGAGGAGGGTTAAGGCAGGTGAGGTCCCGGGCTCCAGCGGCTGCTGCAGCTGCGTTGGCCTCCTGGCCGTAATGAAAGAACTGGTCGGGCACGCTGGGAAGCAGTAACTGCCTGGGAGCGCTAGCCCTCGCAACAACTACCGAGTCCTTTCAGGTTTGCTGCGCATCCTCCCCCGGCTCCCACGTGTGCACTACAATTTAGAAAACAAAGTTAACACGGTTATGTTTTTTCTCTTGGCCCTGCAGTGGCTGAGTCTTAGAACAGGTCACGGCAGTGCATGTTGCTGCGAGCTGGGTTTTCCGGCGAGGCCAGGCGCGTAGCGGCGCTAGCGGAGCGGACATGGGTGCTAGGACTTCCCGAGAACGCAGCTGGCAGCGCAGGCCCAGGCGCTCGCAGAGGCCGCCTCGAGCTTCTGGGGCTCGCAGGTCGCGCTCCAGGCAGAGGCGACGCGCGCCCGAGTGCACGGCGCGCGGCGAGGGGGCGCTGTGGCCTGCTTCTGCTGGCCTCCGCTCAGCTGCTGTGGACCTGGCGCTACCCCCTCGCCACCAACGCACGACGGACGCCTCAGCGCTTGGAGCGACCTGGCCCTGCTCACGCGGGGCAAAACTATGGGAGAAGGAAAACACCGCGAGGACCTTTCAACCCAGTCCGTGTGTAGCAGTTTCTCTTTACTACTTTGGTCATCAGTGGAGTTTGAGTTCGATGGAAATGTAGCCATCATTTTGGGTGTGTAATTTTTTGTAAGTAATTAAGATTAAACATGTACATTTTGCTTCGGTTCTCTTTAATGAAGAAGAACAGTAAGTCGCACTTACACTGTGACCAAAGACCCACTCGTTCCCAGATCCTGTAGGTTGGTTGAGGGAGGAACAGCAAGAAAGAATGCGGGGGCAGGGGGCGGCTAGAGAGAGACACGGCTTTACAATTTGCTTTTTCTTAAAATTGAGAACTATAGTTATAAATTGTACGAAGCCCAAGTCCAGCTGCTGCGTGTCCTCAGCCCCTCCTAGGAGGACGTCTGATTGAATCTCGGAGGCAGCGGTGTCTCTAGGCTCTGAAATGCACCCCAAAGCCTTCGGTTCTCCAGCAAAGCCGGCTCTCAGGAGAATCCGGGACTCTGAGAGGTCTCCACAGCTCTGACCTCACGGCGGCGGGTCTGTCTGGACCAGAGAAGGCAGCCCACTGCAGGCAGCTCGGCCAGTGTGGGTGTGCAAACGCCTGGGTCCCGCGGCCCACTGCAACTCGCTTTTCAGAACCCATCAACGCGCATTCAGGTAACCAGCACTCCCTCATTTAGTCAAGCTGTCTTTCCTCGACGTTGAGGGCTCCTCTTTGCTAACCTGTCGCTCCCGATTTCCTTTAGCCGCAGAGCAAGTCTAGCCTTCCGAAGGTGCCTGCCTGCAGCGCCTCCTCTCCACCTCGCAGTCGGAGAACCCGCAGACTGGGGCCTGTCCAAGTCCTCCTCCTCCTCCTCCTCTTCCCCTTCTCTTCTCTTTCCCCTCCCTCAGCTCTGCGCCCCTCTCCAACCCCAGCTCAGCGATCTCAGCGTGCAGGCCCACACTTTCTGCGGTAGGGGTCTCTGGTCCAGGCCTGAGCTGTGGACCACTACATGCAGGCAGCATGAGCTCACAGAGAAGGCCTGCAGAGGGGACGATCCTTGGAAATGGACCGGCTGGAGTTCCTTTGAAGGATCAGGATTCCAGGAGCTGATTTAGACAGAGGAAATGTTAGCGCCAGTTCCTGAGCAGGCAGTATTTGAAGACTACTAGTCCAGAGCCCTAGCCAATCATCTTTGCCCTGCACCGGTGCGGGCAGAGACCTCCGCTGCTCCTCCGAGCTCCAGGAGCTGCTCAGGGTGAGTGGAGTCCTCAGAATTTTGTGGTGTTTTGTTAAAACGTTGCTGCAGGACAGACGTTGGTTGGGAGAACTTAGCTTTGTGCCTGCCGGCAGCTCTCGTGCATACCTTCCCCCAGATGCCAGAGCGCACTTCGGCGGTGCTGGCCGCGGTGTGAGCAGACCTCCGTTGCTGCGGCCACCGCGGGGGTCACCCAAGCCAGGAGCAGGTGGGGTCCACCGTACTGGAGGAAGCCCTGGAAGCTCTCCCTTAACTAAGCAGCCCAGGCCCTAAGCAGCATTTGTCTGGGGCCACACGTTTCCTTTGGCCACCTCTTTGGTGTGTGTACTCGAAACAGCTAGCCTCTGTGGGTAGTCATTTACCCTGCTCCCAAATTTTTACACACCTGAGGCTGTGCAGGTGCAGGCACAGTACAGAAGGAGTATTTTTTATTGTTATTGTTGGTTTGTTTTTCAAAATATGGCACGGAGAGCAGAAATACATTTTTTAAAAGATAGTTTACATTACAAAATAAAACCTTCAGTAGGACAGATGCCAGCTACTGACTGGAGAGGCAGAAGATGCGCAGAATCTCCCATTCAGTGGAGAAGGAAAAGACAGGCCCCATGGGAAGCCGGTGGAGGACAGGCAGGGGCCCTCCCCTGCTGCAGATCTGCCACTCATGCTGGTAGGAAGAAGCTGGGTCCTCCAGTGCTGGGGAGGCCTCTGGCAGGAAATGAACCTCATGTCCACTGCACCAGCCAGCAAGGCCCAGGGGTGCAGAGTCTGCACACCCAAGCTGTGGAAGTTCCAGTTGCTTCTGAGATATGGCCGGACCAGAGAACAGGCGTAGGAGCCGAACCCCCAGCAATCTTTCCTCTGCTTTCCAGCAGAGAAGAGGCCCCTAGGGTTTTGGGGACACTGGCTCCAGCTGGCATGGAAGGACTGTGTGGCAGTGTGGGTCAGAGAGCTGTGCCCCCAGCCATCCTGTGGTTCTGTGGCCCAGGGTCCCCCAGGGTATATAGGATGAAGGCACCCAAATCCAGAACAGGACCTGAAGGTGGGAAGTCCAGCGAGGAGGCTGCAGACAGGGTGAAGCAGTGGTAGGCAATGTTCTGTGTTTTCAGGTGCAAGGGGACTGACCCCATTTGAGGGCCTGAAAGTCTTCAAAGCCTTTTTGCAGCTGTGGGAAGGACTTGTGTCTCTATGTTATCCACTGTCACCTTGGAGGGCTAATCACATGGGGTTGCAGCACTGTTCATTCCTGTGATTTTAGCGATTAAAAAGTATGTACTGTCACCACACAGTGCCATGTGCAATTTTATCACCCAGGAAGCTGAGGCAGGATGGGTAATGCTGTTCCATGCCAGCCTGAAGCACATAGTGAGACCCTATCTACAAAGGAAAAAGAAACATAAACACAGAAATGGAATGTGCTAGTTTGGCAAAGCTTAATTGATAATATCACTTCCTTAAAATTTTTCATTTATTTCTTCTCTCCTGTCTCCTTTCCTCCCCCTTTGGAAGCCCTAGAAGTCCGAGACCGATGGGGGACAGGAACACATGTGGCCACCTGAACGTGGCTCTCTTTATGTCACTTGAATGTACTTTAGATGAACATAGTCGGGAAGATTCAGGCGTAGATTAAAGCCAGGACTGGGAAAGGCTGGACAATGGGGAGGGGACCAGAGGAGGGCAAGAGAAGCCTGGGGGACAGTGGCAGCAGAGAGGAGAGCTGGTTGGGCAGGCGCCACCTCTGCCCCTGGCAGACCAGAGTGTGGCATTGACTTCACAGCAGCGGGAGCCACAGCAGCTGGGCAATAGCAAGACCGTGACGAGTTGTGTTGAAGGGAGCTTCTCCACACAGCCAGAGCAAGAGTCAGTCTTGTTGCAGAGGACAGAGGCAACATTTACGGGTGCAGAGCAGGGGGTGTCAGTCAGGGAAGCAGAGGCAAGGGGCATCCGTGGCCGTACATGTGACCATATCCACGGCCTCCGAGAAGACATGTGATCAGACAGCAGTGGCACTGACGTAAGCAGAGGGGAATCTTTGGTCCCCTGGTGTCCAAGAAGTCATCCGTGACCCCTGCATGGGCCCAAGCTCAGAGCTCATGGTTCCATAAAGGTGGCCTCACACTGCTGCAGCTACCCAGGGGAGCCTGGACCCCCATTATCCCCAGGCTGGACAGGTGCTCTGCAGCAGGGAGGGGAGAAGGACAGAGACGTGGTGTTCTACTTCCTGACCTCCAAAATGTGTGATTGTTAAAGTCACTGCAAAGCAAGTAACTGCACCCAAGTGTCTCTTGTTTTCAAACCTGTAGTTCCCTGTTCCACAGCCTGGACTCCTGCTCTTGGGCAGAGAAGAGTCACTTCCTGGGACCGCAGTGTCTGGCCCTCTGCAGGGAACCTGTGTCTTGAGGATGTGCGTGGCTCAACCTGGTCCAGGCCTGTCCTTGTCCTGCAGCACCTCAAGCAGATGCGCCGCGCCCCGTGATCCTTCGGCCACTTGGTAGACTTTTGTGTTATTTCTCTTGCTAATACTGCTTTGACCACTGAGGTGCAGTCCTGTATGATAACTTTTCATCCATCTTGGGGGGACCTCTAGGCGTGGAAGAGCCAGTCATCAGGTAAGTGTAGGTTTAGCTTTTGAAAACTGGGTTTCACTGACATTTCATAGATGAAATAACACATTCCATCACAGCATCCCCATGACCTTCCTCTTCTCTGCTTCCCTGCCTCTTGCTGCATAATCTCCCTTCTGTTTTCATGAAATCCCTCCCTCTTTCCCTTA